TCTCTCTCATTACACAGCCAGGCTTGAACTGGAGGGCTTGGTAAATTAAGTGAAGCACCATTGTATTTCAGGGTCCCAGGAGTCTTTTCCAAAAAAGAAAGTAAATATATATAAAGTAACTTAGAATATTCTAGGATTTATATTTTATGTGAATATTACCTAGTAGCCTCATAAGGGACTCATTAAAAATTAAAATTTTCAATCAATTAAAATTTCTGAAATAAACACATGTCCTCCATTGCAATGGAGAAGAATATGCTCTTTTGAAATGGCTCACATACACTATATACAAAAATGATTAATTGCAAAGATCTGAAAAATCTCAGAAAACAAAAACTTCAAAGATTATCAAATAAATAACAGATACTGCAGCCCATTGACCTCTGACTGAGCCTCTTCAGCTGCTGCCCTCTTAGTGCATATTTTTGTATTTTAAAAATGCTGTCAACTAGTGATTTTAGTCTACTGCCAAATATGCAGCTGAAACATATCCTTTTCTTTCTTTTTTTTTTCTTTTTTTTTTTTTTTTTGCTACTGTGAAATAAAGTGTTGAAAGAAATCCAAAATAAAGAAAAAAATTAGGAGCCAGTGAAAGAAAAGCCACTTGAAAAATTACATCTGGGAATGAGGAGGAAGTCAAAAGCTTCTAAAAGTAATTATGTTTTTCAAGTCAATAAATTGTATTATTAATCACCACAGTGAGTGTAACCCTAAGCCATGAGCAAAGATTGAGCACTCTGAAATTTCCATGACATGTTACCTTTGGCCGGTGCTGCTGGGCAGAGAGCGGCAGAGTTTGCCAAGGGAAGCGGGTGGGATCCACCGTGAGCCACTCTCTCTCTAAGGCAGCCTGTACGAACAACAACATTCAAATGTCCAGAGTTTAGTTTACTGACTTTTAGACGGTTTCCTTGACGCAGTACTCTACAACACCAATGCAGACAAAATCTAACAAATTTTCATCTACAGGAAATTTGCTCCTTGCTAGTGGAAGACAATCTGCATCTATTCAATGCAAACACATAGAAAAGTGGGAGAGGGTTTTCATAACTGGGCATTGGACAGAGTGAAAACTTGAATGTTGAGTGCTCTGAAAAATGAGGTGCATATTATTCCATGTTTTGAAGCATTTGTTCATAACTAACTCTGGTCCAACTCTAGGTATAATCAAGGGAAATCATCCTTTAGTTCCTCACCTATAAATTATAATGGGTTTTTTTGTTGTTGTTGTTCTGTTTTTGTTTTTTTTTAAACCAAACATTATTATCATTATTTTTTTTTCTTCTGTATTTTAGGGAAGGGTCTATAGGGTTTTCAGGGTCTCACTACTAGATCGGACTTGTAATGATCCTCCTGTTTACAGCCTCCCAAGTGCTGCGATCACAGGGGTATGCCACCACGCCTAGTCTCAATCCCCACCTCAGCATGCCCCAGGGGCAGAGCTGGCACAGCACAGCACAGGTGAGACTGAATCCCAGGCCCCTGAACCTGCTTGCAGGCACTTTAATCCGCTGAGCTATTTGGCCAGCCCTCGCAAACATTATTATTCAAAATTCATATTACTATCAGATTTTCTTTAAGCACCTTACATAGGTGACCTTTAGTTATTTTTTCTGCAAAAATTCAAAAATTTTCTCTATGACTGGAAAACAATTTGATAGCAATGGCTATTTCCTATCTCAATTGTAGGATTGAAGAAGTAGGTAATATATACATTTTAAATTTTCAAGTTTTTATTTTAAAGCCCCTTTCCACCATGAAACATCTTCATTTCATTTATACAATTTCCAAATTTATTCTATCCTTCTACAATTGTGTTACATATTTAAATTGCAACTATCCAATGTTAGCAAAGTGGCATATGCGTGTAAACCCCGTGCTCCAGGAGGCTGAGGCAGGAAGATCACAAGTTAAGCCCAGCTTGGCCAACTTAGTAAGTTAAGGAGAATCTGTTTAAAAAAAAAAAAAATTGTTGAAAGCCGGGGGACTCGGCATATGCTTGCTGAAGACTCTGAGTTCCCTTTTTTGGGAAAGAAATATAAATATGTAATTAAATTATGTAATATATCTTAGAATCAACTTTTGAGGTTCTGTAGGTTTTTTATCTTTATGTAAACAAGATGATCAAAAAAGTGATTAAGTCATTTTCTAAAAAAGAATATAAAGTGGATCTATATATTTTAACTCAAAACCCAAGTGGCTGATATTTTAAGGAGATGTAAAGTTTCCATCAGTGTATGTGTGTAATTTCAATCTCTTGATAGCTTTATGAAATACTGGAGAAAGACACAACTAAGACATTCTTACTATTCACTAGTAGTGCAATAATAGACATTTATCGAAGGCACTTAAGCCTTAGGAAATCTCAAGTTAAATTCACTTGGCTATCATTCCAATAAGGTACCTTAAAAACTGTTGCATATTCTCTCAGACTCCTTCAAGGTAGAGATTATTATATCTATATTACAGATATATTTGGTTTAAGGATGCACACCTGCTTGAAAGATCAGGCAGTAAGAGGGAGTTGAAAAGACATGTTGTACAACTCTGTGTCACGAGTAGTTCTAAGCATTCCTTCCTCAAAATATGAAAGCATTGATGTACTATGCAAGCATGATTTAGCCATTCCAAAATGTATTTCAAACAACTGGGTTGTACACAATAAACAGTGCTATTAATTTAAAAACCTAAAATGCTACTATTTCTAAAAAGAGCATTATTGGAAAGGGGGGGTGCAGCTGTTCTCATTCTTACAGAGAAATACAAGGTTCAGAAATGTGGTAACAGGGCCGATAGTTCAGGGGTGGGACCACTACAATAAACAGAAGTAGGAGACTGTGTCAGATTTTTAAATAAAGAGTTGATGAGAAGGCTACTTGCTTTGTTAATAACAAAGTTATTACATTAAATGTGAGTTATATTTAAGTTCCCATGTTAAGTACTTGTTAAATCATGCCTGCAGTTCAGCAAACTTCCATTGATTTATCCAGTAAAATCTGTTTTGTGTATTATAGATGATAAATATATTTGATGAAATATAAAGTTAAAAAATAGAATTGCCTTTTATACAAGATTACAAACAGGATTCAGAATTCAAATTCTAAACTTTTCTGAATGACTTATAAATGAAAATCTGTATCCTCCAGGGAGGATCAAGGGCCATCATACATCAGCAGCAATCAATTATTATCAAAAATAATCAAAATTATTTTTGTTCTGATGCAAAGGACTAGTGTAACAGAAGCTGTGAAGAGATGAAGAGACACTATCACAAAAAAAAAATAAAAAAATAAAAAAACCAACGGGCCACCTGACCGCGGCCTATGGTCAAGAACAAGTGCTGCTAGGCAAGGAGCACCTTTTTTTTCTTTTATGTATTTAGTACAGGGTCATCAGGGTCTCACTGCACAGATCGGACTCCTAGGGAACCTCCTGTTTCCAGCCTCCCAAGTGCGGGGATTACAGGCACACGCTACCACGCCCAGTCTCCATCGCTGTCTCAACATTCCCAAAGGGGAGGGCTGGCACTGCACACCAGGGATTTAACCCCAGTCCCCGTGCCTGCCTAAGCAGGTGCTTTAGTCCACTTAGCTATCTGGCTGACCCACAAGCCTGACTCTTACCCAGATTTTTCTATAGACAATTACATTTTTTCCCTTAAACACCTGCCGAACCACCTCTTTTTTCTGTTCCTTGAAAATCCAGTTGTTTTCTTTCTGTGACAGGACAAGGTTCACCACAGAATACGACCTCTTTGTCTTATCTTACAGATAGGAAAGAACTGTTCTTACTTGAAAAGCCTACACATATTCCAGAAAAGGTTTGTTTTTTAAAAGGTGCTATTTAAAAGTACAGAACATTTTGAAAATACTTTTTATTATTTGAATGTAGGGTCACAAAGTTCTATTGGATTCCAGAGCAATAGATAGTTCTAAAAGTATAAAAAAATAAGATTTAATAGAAAGTGTTGAAGATGCTTTTAGAAATTACATAGTCACAACTAAAATGTATTAACAAGACTGATTTATATGAGGACAGAAATTAATATTAGTATATTTGGTATTACCTGGTACACAGAGGAAAATAAAATTTCAAAGTATCAGGAGGAATTTGCCAAAGTTATTAATATGAAATGATTTTGAGAGTGTATGTTAGTATGCCATGCTTCAGCATATTTATGTAAATTTTAGTTATTTCTAAGAAAACTTTCATTTTGGATATCCTTCAGCTCTGAAAATACTAGGGCATTACTGCCATATTTGCTTCTACATTGAAAATGAACTTAAATATATTTGTAACTGTATGTTCATAGTTGCATATACATTTGGTTTTTGATCACAGCAGAAATCATTCTGCTATAGTCCAACTTTGAAAGATTAATGAAACAATGCTACTAGAAAATAGATGCAAATATGCGCTCATACATGTAAAATTTTTCATGATATCTAATATTTCCCAGGTAGATAACTATGCCACATCAGAGTCCTTACATGTTATTTTACATATTTCTCTCTAAACACTATAAATATTTTATGAAACAGTAGCCAAAATTCTCCGCAGTGATTGGGATCTAGGCTTCCTATAATTGGTACTCAGACTCTTTTCTAAGTAGTATAATTTAACATGGGCTCAAAAATCAAGGAAAGGGGGCCAGGGAGATGGCTCAGTAGGATAAGTGCTTGACTGGCAAATGCAAGGATCTGAGTTCAATCCCTGGTTCCGCCAAAAAAAAAACAAAAACAAAAAAAACAAAAAAAAAATCAAGGAAATGTCTTATTCATTATTACTTCAGAGGTTCATCGTGCCCATTCTGTATAAAAACTACTTAATGGGGGCTGGAGAGATGGCTCAGTGGTCTGGAGCACCTACTTAGAACAAGCTTGGCAAGGCATCAGTGGACCGCGGTTCAATCCCCCAGCACCACATGCCAGCCGGCCCCGCCCCCTGGTGGGCTGAGCTGGCCACACACACACCACACAAACTCTCTCTCTCTCTCTCTCTCTCTCTCTCTCTCTCTCTAATAATAAATAAATAAAAAAAAAACTACTTAATGGTAAGAGACAGCTCTCCATGGGCCTCCCCATTTGAAGGTTCTATGACAGATGTTCTTCCTATCTCTTCAAGGCCATTTGCATAGCTGTTAGCCTGAAAAGACAAAAAGCTGTTTCCCTTCTTCCTGAAGGTCAATGACCAACAAGACTCACAGGGTACAGAGGCATGGATGTAATGGAGGAGACCTGGAAAGTCTCACAGCTGACCATGAAGCTCAGGTTATCTAGTGAGTGTGATCCTTTGAAATAAGTCAGGGAGAAAAATTGTGGGGCGCCTGTCTCTTTTAGGGACCACAAAGGTGGTCAGTCCCCTTCACAGTCAAGAAGAAGCTTTCAGCTCTTTACAACTATAAAAGGTGCTTCCACATGCATTCAATGGAAGACTCAAGTCTCTGGAACCGATAATTTTTAGTCAGTGGGAACCTCTGGCAAGGAAGCAGCTTTGCCTAGGGCCAGCCTCCGTGGTTCTGGATTCATGGCGTTTCAGACACAGCAACCAGGTGAAGTCTTTCTGAAAAGCAGTCATTAACTTTTTATTAGAAGTTTTTAGAAACTAAATCAGTATCCCTCAGAGGCATTTTGATTCTCTTGCCTTATACTGGTAATGTTGGATGCAGAAGCCGACAAGGTAGGAAAGTTTTTTTTTTTTTTTTTTTTTTTCCAGAACTGGGGATTGAACTCAGGCCCTTGCGCTTGCCAGGGAAGCGCTTATTCCACTGAGCCATCTCTCCGGCTCCTAGGTAGGAAAGTTTTTAATCATTTCACTTGTCAAAAGGAAAGGGTATACTAAAAATTGAAG